GCTATTCTAGTCCAATACGATTTCATAGAGGAATATTATTGCAGGACGACTACTTCTATGATCCACATGGTAACCAATGGTAGATGAATGAAGTCTGAAAATCAAAATCAAATGATGCGTTTGTTTTGAGTATTTTGGAAAATATTTTTGAAAAAGTAAAAGTTTGATAAAAATAACGAGATATAATTTAAAATTTAATAAAAACACCTCTTAAATTTATTAATTTACTAAACACTTCTGTAATAAAAATATTAAAAATTACAAAAATACCCTTATCTATCTATTAAATATCAACAACCGACCACCGTTATCAGAGAGTGGCCGAAATCGCCGTATTGACGTAAGACTGGTTGGATATGACCAGTCGTGTATCGAGATAACCTTTTTTAGTAAGATAATAGTTAGATCTGATCGTGTTTGATCGTCAACGACCAAAAGTATAACCGTCATTCACGACTAACTACGGTCTAACATTTTCTGTAAAGAGGGATAAGAGTGACCAAATTGGAATCGATGACTTGAGATTCTTTGTTACGACACTTAAAAGTAGTACAGGTCCGTACTAAATTTAACTAAACACTTTTTGGGAAGTGTTTAGTTAAATTAACAAACTTAAGGGATTAAAAATAATTAATAAAATATAACAATATTTTTAGAATAAGGAAACAAGTGTGTATTTTGGAAATGATAAGAATTAGGAGTCTTCAAAAGAATTGATTAGAATCGAAACCGACATGCACCTAAGGTTTGGTTTCGGTTTTTACCCGGAACTGGCCGTCAACAGATAGATTCCGATTCCAAATTTTTGAAACTGTTACTGTACGATTCCAATACTGATTCCTATAGTTAAGAACTAGAACCGTGAACCGAGACTAATATAAAATAAAATTAAAGAGTAAGAAGGTTAATAAAAACTTTTGCAGAAAAAATATCGTGAATACATTTTTATTTTTATTTCATAACTTTTAAAGTAAGTTGGTTTAACTTTTGAGAATCTACCTTTACAAAGTAACGGAGTTTGTAATTTCGAATTTATAATTTATAATTTTATTTTTGTTAACAAGTGCCAGGTGGGGGGTATTTGTAAGTTTTTAAGGGTTTTTTTGCTATTTTAAAAACTTTTGGGGGATCATATATCTTATAACCGAAACCGTTGTTACAGGTTCCAGTTCTAAGTTTCTAAGTACCTAGGAACTTGAACTGTTGGTTCCAGTTCCAAATTGCAAGGAATTGTCAGTTTCGGTTCCGGTTCCTTCAAAAAATACAGGATACCCGGAACCGAACACCCCTAATATTAAGAATAGAATAGGGGAAAATATTAAAACAATCAGACCCTAAATTTTTTTTTTTTTTGGTACTTTTCAACCCGAAAGAAAATTGTTGTCCGAATATACAAACAACTAAAATTTATCAACTAGATCTTTTTCTTCTCTGATTCAACTGACTAACTATTCCTTTCTCTCGACCAAACGACTGTAAAGATATTCAGAGTACAAACCAGGAGAGAATACTCACCACAACCATCACTATGTTGATGTTATTAAACATAACTAGTCACTCAGATTGTCAACTCTATCACGCCTAAAAGATAGACATATCCGGAGGCGGTCCATAGACGGTCATCCATGAAAATGGGATGATCCATTTCTCACCATTATCACCTGAAAAATAACCATTAGTGCAATGTAAGTATGATTCGTAAATCAGCAGGTTTATAGCAGAGGTATCCTCGTGTTTAAGAAAGTCTTAACTTTTGTATGCAATAAATACATTATGATGATCAATAGCATTATATTAGGAGAAAATAAAAAGATGTCAATTGAAACTTCAACTTAATCATATTCAATCACAAATACGGTATCATGATAACAATATGAATATATGAATTACATAAAACATATATGACAAAGAATTGCACGTTTGTGTTGCAAAATAATTATATTTAACCTTGATATCCAGAAATTTATTCAGAAATGGTTGTAATGAAAGGAAAAACAGGAGTTTTTTGCGAGGTATTAGGCCAGAGAACTCAGTTTTTATTCACACAATGCCATTCAGGACGTTTCGTGCCAAGCGAATCATATGAAACATGGTTGACTTTAGCCATGTAGAATTAAGAGGACAGGTGATTACCAATTATCAATGATAGGCTTATATACTAGAGTCATTTGTGAGCATAAAGAAGCATCGCATGAAGAAATGATACTGCAAGTTCTTAAATTGATGCATGTATGAAGATTACAACAAAACTGGCAGATTCAATTCAATAAATGAGTGAGCAACAAGTGGTAGGCCAATAATTTGCATTCCAACTACCTCAGAAGTTTATTATTCGTTCAGGGAGGGAGAAGAATTGGTGAGGCATGGAGATTGAATATAGGCTAGTATCCAACTCAAAACTAAGACTCACCATGAAAATTGTCAGGATTCAACCTCAAGAGTTTGCTTGCTGCCTCAGCCAGATGGAAAGCTTCAGACATATTGTCCCCTTCTGAACAGTAACACAACAAGCATGTAACCTTCAAACCTCGGGCCTGATTCAGTAAACCAAGAAACTCTTGTTAGTCAAATTTGCTTTTAGAGTAAAAAAACAACTTTTCTATTCCAGTCCTGAATTTTTGCAAAGCACATGTGACTGACTCTTTGTTAATGTTCAAACTAATGTTTGACTGATTTTGTAATTTTTTTTTGTCTTTTTGAAATAGTGCCTGAGGCTTATCCAGTATACTACCTGCGCACAAGTTTACTCTTTTGCATTTGTTTAAATTTTATTTTCACTCATTCCTAAGGAGAAAAAAATGGTGTTGCAATTGAATGATGCACTAACATCAGCAACATATGATTTTCAAGCAGAGAAGTGTCATAAATATAATATTAGTAGTGGTATACGATAAGGAGAAATTAAACTTGTTCACATGCCAGGAGCAACCCTAAAGACTAAGAGAAAGAAATAAAAAGAATTACAAAAATGATGAAATGAAAAAGAAATAAAGAATATAAATTAAAAGCAGCACTTGATAGGAATCACTGGTCATTATAATTTGAAATTTGTACCTTGAAACATGAAAATAGCGCAGCAAATGGCAAACTTGGATAGTAGTCTTCTTCTTCTAGTTCATCTTCAAGTGGCAAACTAACGTCCTCGACAGAGTTTCCTTCAGCTAAATTGCTAACATATTCCCAACACCTCTGGTGTGGGTTGTATTCCTGCAGTCTTTTCCATCCAAGTTGTTCACAGTCGTCATCGGTCCCATCATCATTTTTGCTAGATAAGTAATATATCTGCAAACCACTAATATGACAACAAAATGCTTTTGATAAGAAACAATTGCAAAATGATTAATCATTGTAATTAAAATGCAAAGCAACTACAAGCACAGTATCATCTGGTTGCTGAAGAGCTCCCGCACAAGAGAATCTTTTATATAGAACACCACCAATTTATTAGTCTTGCCATAACTGTTGTGGAAAAGTTGTTTTGTTTTCAAGCAGGTTTCAATCATGATTAAATTCATTTCTCAGAGATTTCTTTCAATGCATATTTGGTTGGAAAACTTTGTTTAAAATGCTCTATTCGGAATCACAATACTTAGCTTTAACATACACAAAATCCAAATTCATTGATTATCAAATGTACACAAGATCACTTGCTCTTGGAGTTGGGACGAGAGACCAGACAAAAATTGTTTTCATTTGCCATCTACTGACAAATCAGGTAAAAGAACCCAATAAGTAGAAATTTCAGTTTCAAAGATTAATAATTGGTGGACCTGGTGCCTTGAAATGCTTAGTTTCCTAGAAACCAAAGGCTTATTAATAAAAGACCTGAAAAAAATTACTTTTACAAAATATATATATACCTTGACATATCAATTCTCTGCAACCTCCCAAAGTCTAAGCCAGAAAGTACAACGACATGTTTCTTTCCACTAGCAGCAGCAAAGTCTGCCAAGTTCTTAGCATATTCAACCATCATCCCCTGTATAAAAATCATCAGGAAAATAAGCCTGTATACTTCAGGATAAAAAGTAAAGTCTTATTTTGTAACACAAAGTGAAGCAAGAGGTTAATCTAGATGCTACAGCTAAATTTCTAGTGAAAACCACACATTTTACTCAAGCCCTCATCCAGGATAGCCACTGAGAGAATAAGCAAAGTTGCTCCTCATTTTTTCATTTTCATTTTTAGGGAAAAGAAAAAGATTATGAGAATATACTACATTGTCATCCATAATCTTCACCATCTAAACTCCTCTTAGTTGCGTATAAATGATCAAAGTATTTATGATTACATTAAAAAGCAGAACTTTTCTACCCCACTCAATAGAAAGCTCTATTTACTCAAAATTCTAAGCACACCATATCACAGTATCTTCAACACTACCATGCAATTTTTTTCTCCAACCACAAGTTAGCACTACACTCATCTCAATATTCATAACTCAAGATACTCAACTCCCAAATAGAATTCATTAACTAATTAGTCCTTTCAACTTCCCCTGAAATAAACCCATCGCCATTCATTACACATAAAAAATCATCAACTTGAAGCTTAATATTACAAAAAGAAAAGACCTTAATAACTGGAGATCTTTGCTGGACAAGATTCAGTCCGCTAGAAGATGACTCATAAGCTACAAAAACAAAAACAATCATAAAACACTGAACTCAACAATCACCAAAAAAAAAAAAAGGATAATAATAAACCTTGAAGAGGCAGAGCAAGGTCGCCACGTGGACTCGGCCGATAAGCGTCGTTGCCAACACAAGGAAGCACGAAGGGGTCGTCCAAGTATCCGATTGTTTCCGCTCCGGTGGACGATACGAGCAGATCAACAGCTAGCTGGCCCACATTTCCNTATTTCAGGCCAAGGTTCTGTTCAATGTTCCTTTCTCTGAAGATGAGCGTCAAAATATCAAGGTCATGATTCAAAGCAATTTGTATCGCTATATTGGTATTGTGCTTGAGGGTCGTGAGCAATTTGAAGAAGAATGTATGATTGAAAGAAGAAAAAAACTGGTTATTGATCAGCCTGGTCCTTCAGGTAATGTCTTGTAATTTTATTAATTTTCTTTTTCATTAAGCTTGTATGGATAATTATTTTCAATGATATCATCAGATCTTGTTTAGAGCATGCAGATGATACATGAAAATGCTTTCCCTAGATACTTGCAATTTTAAGATATTTATATCCTTTCTGTTAAAGTATTGAACATATATTCTCTTTCTTGAAAGTTCTGATCTTTATGATCCATCTCCTGCCTCTTGCATTAAAAGATATTTCATATAATGCTTTCCAAGTTCATGTGCTATTGTATTTCCACCTCATTCATGTGGTACCAAAAAATGCTCCAAATTTGTAAAACATGGTTAGCTCCTTCTAAACCGTGGTGTGAGCGGGATTTGATGATTAAAAGTTTCAGATTAACTTCATCAAACTAAATTTAACTATTTTTAGCGTGGAGAAATTCAGATTAGATTTTTTTTTTAATCAAATGGATTCTGAATTTATTCATTATGTCGTCAATACAGGCCAGATGGATGAAAAAACATTATATTCTATCAGTCCAAAACTGAAAGCTTTTTCAGATTGGCTTCTCAAAGTCATTGCGTCTGATAATTTGGAAGTCATATTCCCAGCGGCTACCCGTGAATATGCACCGTTTGTTGAGGAGTTGTCAAAGGATGCAGCCTTCCAAGCCACATACCTCCGGAGGAATGAATTAGACATGCTACCCAGTGTTGCTACTTATTTCCTAGAACGGGTGAGATGTCCCTCTGTGGTCCTTGTCTACTTATTTCAATACAAACAATTGATAGGTTGTGGGCATTTTTTTTTTTTTTTTTTTAAACATCATCAAGTCTCCATAGTCTCTTTGATTTGCTAGTTTGCCATCGATGTTCAATTGCTTCCTGTATAACCATATATAGGTTATAAATATTAATGCACATACTTTCTGTGTTGTGTAGTTAAATTTTGCTGCTTACCAAATATATGAGTATTTTGGTTTCTTAATATTAATTATGTGCTTTAATATCTTACTTTATTTTGAATATATACATGACAATTGTTTGATGAAGCTAAAGTGGAAGTTAATCTGAAATAGAAATCTGAACAAGGAGAGATGATTATTGTGACCTGTAATATATTATTTCTACTTTTTAATATTAAAGTTATATTCCCTCTCAGGCTGTTGAGATTTCAAGGACAACCTATGAACCCTCGGATCTCGATATCTTGTATGCTGAGGGAATTACCTCATCCAATGGGCTGTCTTGCATGGAATTTTTATTTCCAAAGCCACCACATCAGAGCTCCATTGAATCAGAATATCAGAATTATGACTCCTCACTCAGGTTACTCTCTAATCTCTGCACTCAAATTTACTTGTATGAGCAATGAATACTAAATTGATCATCTTTACTTACTATTTCTTGCTTAATAACTGCAGGCATCAACTCATTAGAGTGCGTCCAAGAAACCTTGGAGAGAACTGCAAGTGGCTAGGAATGTTTGAAGATGTTGACATTGTCCTGTTTTGTGTTTCTTTGACTGACTATGATGAGTTTTTCGAAGATAAGAATGGAGTTCTGACTAACAAGATGTTGGCCAGCAGGCAACTTTTCGAAAAGATTATAACTCATCCAACCTTCAAAGATAAAACCTTCCTTCTATTACTTAACAAGTTTGATATACTTGAGGAAAAGCTTGAACAGTCTCCTCTCACTAAATGTGAATGGTTCCGTGACTTCAATCCAGTTATCAGCCACAATTACCACAGCAGCAGCAGAAGAAATAACAATGCTCCTCGGGCTCAATATGCTTTCCACTACATTGCATTGCAGTTCAAGAGATTGTTCAATTCCCTTACTGATCATAAGTTGTTCGTTTCACTAGTTACCGGGTTGGAGCAAGAGACCGTTGACGAAGCTCTTAGATATGCAAGGGAGATTCTGAATTGGGACGAAGAGCAATGCAACTACACTAACAATGAGTCGTCATATGACTTTGAGGCAAGCTCATCGTCATGATTTTGTTTCAGTATAAACAAAATGCTTCTAAATCTTACATGCATTAGAAAGATTAGTAGCAGTAGAAGTAAAAGTGTTTGCTTTATTAACTTTCTGGAGCAAATACTTGTGTATAGTGTATACTTATATACACACACGTGGATTCGGAGTTTTGGATACATAAGGAAATACAGAACTGGGATACAAGATGAATGTATCATTCTTGGAAGTTAGATTCTTTTATACATAGAGCTGAATCAAAGCTGTCTGCAATTGCAGATTTAGCAAAGTGAAACAATTATCTCACTATTTTTTCTGTCCATTCCATTCCAAATTGCTATAATGCTATCCATTTTTATCACCGGAATAGCATTATACTTACAAAGTTGGGATCTGAATTACAGGGTTGTTGCATGGTTACAGTAAATTAATCCAAAATTTCTGCTAAAGCAAGAATATCAGCTCATGTCTGACATGCCATTCTGGAACCACTAGATTCTATCCGGACTAGGGGTGAAAATCAAGCCGAGAGCTCAAAAAGCTCGAAAAACTCAACTAAAACTTGATTAAGATCGAATAGTTCGACTAAAACTCGATTAAACGAGCTCAAATTCAAGTTTTAAGTACCGAGTTTGAGTTCGAACTCAATTCATCAAGCTCAACTAGGCTCAATCTCAAACTCAATACTATAGCAACCAAACTCTACTCGAGTAGATTTCACCCCTAATTATTGATGATTTGAATCCAGACAGCTCATTACTAAACACCCTCGTTATAACTTTTCAATCTGCAGATTTACATGAAATGTAACCTCAGTTAATTATTTGGATAAAAGATTATAATTAACATTAATTAATCCATTATTTATGTAAATGAACATGGTCTGTCTTATGATTGAATCAACAGAATCCAGATACAGAAAACACTTGTTGAAAATGTTTAAACTTTTATATTAAACATTCATAACTCTTTCTCTACAAATTAAGAAATGAAACTGACAACAAAATATTTACTACACAGAACAGAAGGGTTGATCACCAAGGCACAAATCGGTCCATAAGCAAACACACAGTAGCCTCAGACATTGTAGTTTCCCTTTCAACCACCTTTTTGCTCTCTTTCTCTTCAACTTCTTCTTCTTCTTTCTTCTTCACAAACTGCTGCTCTTTCTTTTGAACTGTTGATGACAATTGCTTCCTGGCTTTAACTTTCTCTCTCAGCTTTGCAAACTCACCCATCCATGTTTCCACCACTGCTGACATTTTTCCCACTAAAGAATAAAAAGTTATGTCTCGGCTCTATCTTAGGCAGTTCAGGGTTATTGTACATTGATATTAAAAATTTGTTCCGTGTCTATTTATCTCGATCCATATTTAAACAGTCAGGTACAATTTTCGTACATGTTTCTCAGCGTTGAGAACATTTCAACGAGCAAGCGAATTGAGAGACGATTGAGATTCGTTGTAATCTGTATGGGCTTAGGGGATAACAAAGTTGTAATGGGCCTATTGTGAAGCCCATCTATCTCTATGGGCTTATTATGGTCCATGATCTCTCACAAGGTAGAGATGAAATTTTCCTCCAAAATGTTCATGTAGGAAATTGGATGAATGATTCCACTAAATTTCTCTTTGGTCTTCTTCATGTTTAGACATATAAAGACTACCTATTAACTTATCGGGTAACCCAGATGATTAGAGCGAATTGGGATACTATGAATAGTATACGATTTCAAGTTTTCCCATCTGTATTCTCAATTTAAGCTGGAGGCTATGGTGGTGGATTGTTGTGTTAGTCTTCTTCAAGCATTAACAAATACAAAAAAATATTACTTATTTAGAAAGATCCAATTTTTATTTGTAATAATAATTAATTTCTTATCAATATTAAATGTTTATGGTTTTGTGACAAATTTTTTGGTCCAACTTCAAAATATTTTCAAATTACAATCAAATATGTTTCTTTAATTTCTCCGATTAGTCCACAAGTAGTTGATAAATTAAGTTTTTTTTTTTTTTGGTCAACTTGTTTTACTTTGCCCCTTATTTAATGCAAGAGAATTAATTTATTGAAGTGTTTTTTAAATCCCCTAATCGAATACTCTATATCTATAAACCCCCTTTAGTTTTCTATATGACTCTCACACCTTAGTTTTGTCAAATGTTTATATTTTATCATCTTTTTGACAATAGATTGGTGAAAGAGTGAGCGAGCCCCCTCTTCCTTCCCCACCACCCTAGTTTGAGGCCGCCGTTAGGCATAGGCATCAAGGTAATTTATCACAAGTTGATACTTGATAGGGGTAAAAATATTACTTACTGTTCATATGTACTACTTCGTACCTCAAACAAACAAGAAGGGATTGAAGTCATATACAAAACAAGAGGGGGTTTATTGATAAAGGCTAATACCTAAGAGAATTTAGATGAATTATCCTTAATTATATTTCTATTAAGATAATCAAATATAATTAATCGTTAATCTGGGGTCACCACTTCTGCTTCGACTAATTGTACATTTCTGACTGATTTACCCTTCTTCACAAATAAACCCCAAAACAGTGCTTCGCAATTTAAACGAGACCCACGTTTTCTCTTCCTCGCGTGTTGCTGATCATTCCTGGCAAGTTCCTGCTTCACTCTTGAAGCATAAAAACGAGGATGAGTACCCATCTTTCGTTTCAATTTCAGTCGTTAGGTGGTAAGTCAAGAAAATTTTGCATTTCTTTATTTGCGTTTATGCCCCAACAGTCCTTTGTCTTGGTGATTTTCACAGAACCTTCTCTTTCTCTAGTCTACTCTTTGAAACTACCGCCAAATTTACTAGAGTTTGGTTTGGTGTAAGTTTGACCGCCTCTTTTTCTTTCTTTGTTTGCTTCTATCTATTTTTCTTCAAGGGAACAAATACGAACTGTGTTTTGGTTTATGCTAGAGATTCTTGTTGATATATGTGCCTTTGGTTCTTGGTTTCTTTGAATAATTGGTTTTGGTTCATGGGTTTGAGATTAGTGATTTTGGTTTATGGGTATTGTGGAAATAGTTGATTTTTTTTTTTTTTTTTTGGGGGGGGCTCTAGAAGTTTTGTGTGTTTGATAGGTTTGTGATTTTGGGGTTCTGGTTTTGAGTTGAGTTTAGGAGATGCTGGGCTTTTGAGAAAAATTATGCCTGTTGTACCTCTAGCAGAAACATGGTGGTGATGATGATGATGATGCTCATAATGTTGAATACTCTTTTTGCCATTGAGTACTCTGGTCCTCCAATTGGTTAGGATATTCCACGACGCCGTGCCTATAGCTGTTGATGAATCCCTGTTGCTGCCCCAGTGGTCTCTTCTTCTTTGTTGAAAGATAGTTCACTGCATTAACCAGCCAATTAAAAAGAGTACTCCTGCAGGTAGAAAACCATCAAGGACCAAAATTAAGCTCTGAGTCATCGATTTCCCAGTTCACTGACCAGCTCTGTGGCGTCCTCGACTGGTCCTAATATGTCCCGTGTAGTACCAACTCAGGTGGATAGCAATGGTGCATCTGGACGCTTAACTGGTAATTACTGTAAGGTCAAGTCTCTGAGGTAGGAGAAGCTCAGTTAGATTGAAAAGTCTTGATAGTCAATGTAATTCTTGTGAAAGTTTGGATTGTGTGATGGTGTTGGAGCACGCCCAATTATCTGGTCTAATAAGCTTCTGGTAAACTAGAACGTCCTGATTGTCATGATAATATGCATTTAAGTGTAGAATTACCTGATGATAACAGGGGAGAGGCAGATGTAGGATTTCAAGATTATATGAATCCTGGCAATTGGAATCAACAGGATCAGGTTTAGTTCACACGCTGTTTCTTGAAGCGTTTTCTTGCAAAAGAGGAGTTGAATGAAGAAGAAACTCCTTGCCATGCTAAACACCGTCAGTTGTTACTTTTAGTGATCCTGATCTTAGTGATGTAGTTCTTGAGAATCTGAATATTCTGAGGTCGAAAGCAACCAAGGAACCGCAGCTGAAAGGCCTGGAGAAAGGTTCATGCTATCAATGCTTGAAAGGAAATCTTTTACTGAAAGAGAAGTGGCATTGTCTGTGGTGCAAAGTACTGCTCTAACTGTTTGCCGACGCAATGGGTCAATGCCAGAAGGAAAAATGTGTTACTTGCATTGGTTTCAGCATAGATATGCTAAGAGAGGACCTTGGGGAAAGCTTCTCGGATGTGCTGAGGCGGTTGCTGACTGAGATGGAAGTTAAAAATATATGAGATCTGAAATAACCTGCCCAGCGAATCATTGCCAGCACGGCGTGTGTCTGTGAATGGCAAACCTCTTTCTCAGGAAGAGCTGCATATATTGCGAGCTGCCCAAATCCACCGAAAAAGCTAATCCAGGGCACTATTGGTATGATAAATTTTCGGGTTTTTGGGGAAAGGTGAACGTCTACACTACTCCTTATTAGTTATCTTTTCTTAAGTAATTGAGGTTTAACTCTGTGCTCCATCATTGATTATTGTCGCTGATTGAGTAGGTAGAGACACGAAAGCCAGATTAATAGCCCCCAGCTGAATGTAGGGGGTCAAATCGATCGAAGGCTAGTAATGGGATCACAGATATCTGTATAACAATCGGGAGATAACTAAAAAAGTTATGATGCTTAAGGTTGTTTTACTGGACAGAATCATGTTCTTTCATCCCAACTTTCAACATAAGATCCATAAGATTGTTAAATGTTGCAGGCAGCTAGAGTGCAATGTGAAGGAAAACCTCACTTTTGGTTAAGCGCAGATTCCTATCAGGAAAGGGAATGAATCAAATAAAGGCACAATATGGAGCAAGGTATGTTACATAATTATTGTGATGTTGTTTTCTTAATTTTCATATTCCATCTTACTTATCCAATTATTGACAACTGTGGATGTACTTTACAGAGTACCATAAGTTTGTTTGTCTCTCTTGTCTTTGCCAACCCCTCCTGATTGGTGTATTCTGGTGGTGATGAACTGAATGGTGCTAACCCAAGCTATCCTGAGCACAAAGCACTATGTAACTTTTTTTTGCTTGGTGAAACAAATCTGGCACGAGTACCATATATAATCAGGTAAGACTTCATTGAAATTTTACGGAATTAACTATCTTACTCTTGTGCTGTATTCACGTTTAAATCTGACTCTGGTGAATGTTTGATTGCGATTTCGTATCTATTTAAGATTCCGTATTAGAATTGTGTTGATATTCTCTGATGCCTTGCCATTATCTGGTTTTAGATTTACTGGATGGTTATGGAAAACGTTAGATGCTTATAAAAGTTGTAAAAGCTGACATCTGAATTCACCAAATGAAGAGATTC